GAGAGAGAGAGAGAGAGAGAGAGAGAGAGAGAGAGAGAGAGAGAGATCTTGTGACTATATTACCTACACGTATACGTTGTTAACAATCGTTAGTATTTGATCCGAAAACTCGAAGAATTGGAGAACTCGTATGCTTCCAAAATACTCCGCGCATGGGATTTTATTTATTAAATATCAATTACTTATCTTTGTTATTAATTCAATATTCCGCTAGTTCTGCACCTTTTCACCGTTCAACCTAACGATTCGTCAAATTAACACAGATAATATATCGATCACAAATGATAAAAAATGTGTGAAACTTCTCGTTAATAATCATGTAAATATATGACAGATTATTTCTCTCGTGGATAGTGTAACACTCTGCGTCGTTATACCTTGATCAAGTGAGAAGATTGTGTAATAAATCAGACAGACGACCACGAAGATTCGCTTGGGGTTTCCTGGTGCTCCTGAGAGTTATTTACATATCCATCGATTGGCTGAACTTGATAATTGTAGATAACGGTTTCGTACAAACTTTGACGTTGGAGAATTATTAATCTTTTCTCGCGAACTTGACGATGCAATTGGTGCTCCAAGGATAAAAAGTCGAAGTCACGAAAGATCTGCAGACTCGTAACCCTGGAAGAAAGACGTATTACGACTGAACAGCCTTGTCGTTTAACTGGTAGGAGGAAGACGAAGAGGTGGCAGGAGGATACCGGTGGTGGCGGTGGAAGAAGATCTTGTTTGAACTGACCCGAAGAGTAGGAGAATGTACTCTCGAGAAGGACTCTCTGTACGCGATCGAGGAAGAAATGAGGAAACGGATGATTACGAAGAGCCAATAGGTAAATCTCTGGTGTAGCGCGAGAAATTAAAAGAATAACAGAAATTTGTGTGTTATGCTGTGTGAAGCATACAAAAAGCGAGTACGTTATAGTAGAGGAAGTCATATAGGGAATAAATATGTACTATTTTTGCGTTCAAAAAGTTGCAATTCAAATAGTTTCGCAACTTTGTTTCCGTAAAGTATGAAAATTTCAATGTGTGACAACCGGTTATTATCGAAGAATTTGAGCCAAGTATACGTATCAATTAGGGGACAAGTAGGATGATACGATGAAGATATCGTTTAACGTTAAAGTCAGACAATAAATGATTATATTAACAATGAACATATAAATTCGAGTTTATCCAGTAACTTTCGAAGAGAAGCAAAAATCTGGGAATCTTTAGGGTGAAGATGTAGAAAGAGTGGGCGGGCACGTTGTCGTATTGTGGAGATTGTTGCCGCTAGCGTTACCGTACGACGTAACGTATGCGATGCAGGATATGGACATCATCGTATAGAAGCAACCGTTTGTTGCTGCTGAAAGGTACGCAGTCAGGGACGGAGAAACGGTACGTAGAACAGTTAGACGACGACCCACATTGCGCGGAGTCTCACAGACCCGCTGCGTACAGGCCGGCGTACCAGTTTCTTCGACCTTGCACCATAACCAAACGTCAGACACGGAAATTCTGTTCTCTTTTGAGATTATTAACAATTTGGCTGCATTTTCACAATCGCAAGCATTTAACGATTGGTATCGATTTGCCACTGTTACAGAGGCAAGCTAAGCATTTTGTGATGACTAGTCTTACATTACGAATGTTCAATGTGATATTTGTTAGTTTTTACTCAAAATCCACTGTGATTTATCTTTTGAGAATATAACGTGCGCACGCACGCGCGTGCTCACCAATCAACTACACGCACATATTATGTACGCGCGTGCGCTTTAAATTTAATCTGTTATATGTACTACAACGTAGCATGACATAGAAAGAACTTGTAACCATCATTTTACATTAGTTGCAAGGCGCGTGCAGTCAGATACTCTGTATCATCATAACTTTGTTTTCGAGAGAAATATTTTCTTTAATCATCGTAGAGAGAACATCCCGGGTGTACAATGTTGCGAGTCGTGAGTGTTGTTGTTGTATTATTTCTGATAAGCGAAGCAAAAAAGCTTGAGGCAGGACCGAGTAGTGAACAATGGAAGGAATTTCAAGACTTTATGGAGTGGAAGCGAGAGAAGCAGCAGCGCGAGTATGATACAAACGAATACACGATGCAAGTTGGTGCGATTAGATTCGATCGAAATGCACAAAGGAATCATAACCGAGATGTACCAGATCCACCGCCAGTCGATCAGGCGGCATTAATGGCCAGATACGTCGTTAATCAAGCTGGTAATCTATTAATGCAATATTCAGTACGTATGTACTGAACGTAATTTTTCTGATAATAACAAAAGTATTATTTTGATCTTATATTATTCGTACGTCCCGATCTTTTAAAAATGCATATCTATTACTTTAAGAAAAGAATGAAATGAAAGAGTAGATCTATTCAAAGTATAAGGCGCGTATGCGTGGTAACTCGTTGAGTAATTAACAATACCCAGACCCAGATACAGAGACACAGAGGTGTTAAACATAGCTCTTTATCATTTTCCTATATGTACACAAAGTCGAAGAAAAGACATGTAATATTATTATTATCACGATTTTGTATATCTATCTTTATCGACAGATTGGGCGTCCGTAGCAACGATAAGCACACGAAAAGACACCCAAACGTTTCCCGTAGCAAATTTAATTTCTTTTAGCGATGGGCTTATCGGAAGTGGATCTGGAATCCCATATATGTACCTCACTCCTCTTGATTATACTGCTCAAGATCTCGCTGTGAGTAAAATACAACATAGAAAAATAAGAAAGATATAAAATAAAAAAGAACAATGCCGTTATAAACGAATAAAGAATGACATTTTTAATGGATAGATTTTATTGCGCAGCGTTAATTTTCATGAATTTCTACGCATTATACGTTTTTTAATTTATATTTGTTCTGATAATCATTATCACGAGATAACAAGTTCAAAGACGTACTACAAAATGATAAGTTGGGTAACTCAGAAATCGTTGATCGTTTCGATGTCGACCGATGAATTATTTCTCACTGAGAAATCCTCAGCTTTGTTCGAGCTTAAATAAATCAGCGGAACATACTCTCTAAATTTTTTGGAGCGAAAATCTCACTCGAAAAATGGAGTGACAGCCGAGTCACTCAAATTAAGGTGACTTCTTATTCTTATAGAATCAATTCCTTCGCTTTATATGAAGTGAAAATTTTCACTCTGTGTTGCGAATTTTCGCTCGACGAATGAAATGACGACCGTTACTCGAGTTATAGAGTGACTTTTCACTTGCGTATTTTCAACTCGTGAAAGAGTGAATAATTTGGAAATAACGTATATACTGTTATAAAAAATCATTACCATCAGTTAATAACAGTGGTTCGATAGAAGTAAGACGAATGACTCGAGAACAGAAGTTCTCAGGTCCCACTACGGTCAGCGTATTTTTTCATGCTTATAAATGGAATTAACTAAATAGTACGCCACTAAAAAGATTGTGCAATAATCAGAGATCTTAGTAATCACAAACAGGATATAGAATTTATAAAGGATAAAGGTTTTTCTTTTTACCTAATTATAAAAATTCATTTTACTTGGAGTGAAATTTTCACTCTAGTTGGAGTCAAATATTCACTCTTATGAAAAGTGAGATATTACTCCATTCAGAGTGGCCAGAGTGGTTACTCTGATAAAAAAAAGTTTATAGAGTACGATAGAATAAAATAATAATTTTCTATCGTTTTGAATATGGATTTTGGTTCGTGAATTTACAAAATGTGAATAGTATTCTATCGTATACAATAGAATATAATAGATAGTGATAGAATTTCTATTTAATTTAGTTTCCTATAGAATACAAAATCGTGTATAACCAGATAAAATATAATAGGATTTATATTAGAACTTGCGAGCGAGAATGATGACAGTTTAAAGAAAATAATTCAAATTGATAGCGCTATCAATTTGAGTCGTTTTCTTTAAGCTGTATCATTCTCGTTTGCAAATTCAGATATGAATCCTATCGTATTTTATCGTATTTTATTTGATTATACACGATTTTGTATTCTATAAGAAATTAACGATAGAAATTCTATCACTATTTATTGTATTCTATTGTATACGATAGAATACTATTCACATTTGTGAATTCACGAACCAAAATCCATATTCAAAACGACAGAAAACGATAAAACGATAGAATTTTATTCTATCGTTCTCTATAAATTTTTTTACCAGGGTATTTTCACTATCGCTTAGAGTAAATATCCACTCGTTTAGAGTGAAACTTCACTCCAAAAAATTTAGAGAGTAATACCGTTAATATTCTCAGAAATCAGGTTTTGTATACAAAAAATTCTGTATTATGGTTTTATTTTTTTTAATTACGAGCACAGTTATATCACTGTCGATTATATCGTGAATGTCTTGGCGGTATGTATATGTGTACGATATCCTTGTACATGTATCGATATCCACGTACGTATATATTAATAACTGGTTTTTATTCAAATTACGACAAATTTTTTTTATTGATTGTATCAGACGCATGATCAATTGATCATTGCAGAAGGACCATCGGGCATCTCTTTTAATGACGCTGGCGCAAGGCAGCTATTGTAAAGATAAACAATGGGACCCAATGGATCCGCGGTGTGCTAGAATTATCCTGACTGGAAAGATTAAAGCAGTTAGTACATTCATAAATTATATACTCGCGTCTCTCGTATTATTTTTATATAAAAATATTGCGGTTTTTTTTAATGTAACAACAGCTAAACGACACGAGTGCAGAGTACCAATTTGCAAAACAAGCGGTATTCGGTCGTCATCCACATTTGGAAAAAATGCCTGCAGGTGATATCACGTTTTGCGGAATGTTGTAAAATAATGATTCGCATCTAATTACACCGCATCATTCATTTATGCGCAGATCATCGATTTTTTTTCGCCAAGTTGAAGATATTAGCGATTGCTTTATTAGACACCTTTGGTGGACCGACTTACATTAACGTGAAGGATTATTTGCATCCACCAGTGGATAATATTGCGGAAGAATTACAACGTTTTTTAACGAAACGGGCGTCTCAAGAGAATTTTAATGTCGCCTTAAACCTCCCAATTTATGAAGCTCGTAGAACATAGAATTGTACATATATATAGATACATACTGTAAAAATCGAAAAAGTTGCATAAAAAATTTCATGTTGCATTTGTATCGCGAGCGTGAAAGACCTATATAATATACAAATATATACTGTACAAAATAAAAAGAAAACAATATTCAATGTATATAAAGTTCTTATAATTTAGAAATAAAATTGTATTATTTCTTCAACACACATTTCTGAGAATGCAAGCTAAAGTTGTCGGTAAAAAGAAGGCTGTAATACCTTTATTTGTACGAATTTCAGATCGCATCTGCAACATCTAATAGAAAAAATATATCTTCTAAAAATTAAAAAAAATTTATAAAAAAACACTCCTCTGTTGGATACGGGGTTAGATTTCTTTTTGTACCTGATTACCTTCAGTAGGAAAAACAGCTTACCCTCATAGCAAAAGATCTTGAAGGGATATCTTGGGGACTTGGGTGGACATTTAGAAGTCCTCGGAATATTTTTAGGATATTTTGAGGACTTATGCGGACATTTAGCAATCCTCTGGATGTCTTTGAAACATCTTTTAAATTTTGTGCTATGTGGGTAATCAGCGTTTTGATATTACGATCATTGGCTGCGTTCAGAAAATATAGCTGATCAGTGAACGGTCAGTGATTATTGGTCCTTACTGTTAGATCTCTAACTTTAGACCAATTACGTTAACTAATTACGCAACCGTTGTATAACCGTTGTGTCTTTTGAACGCACCCAATGGCTGCGTTCAGCAGAGAAAGCTGCTTTGCACTGTTGTAAAATTCGTGAATCTGATTGATACATGCTCTTGGATTCAATTCAAATTAAGAGCATACTCCAATCAGATTGACGAATTTTACAACAGTTGCAAAGCAGTTTTCTCTGCTGAATGCAGCCATTGGGCGCATTCAGTAGAAAAAGCGCTCAGTGAGCAATCAACGATTATTGGTTCTTGCTATTAGATCCCTAAATCTAGACCAATTACATTGACAAATTACTCAACTGTTGTGCAACTGTTGAGTCTGCTGAATGCAGCCATTGATTACGTTAAGCAGAAAAAAACAGCTTAATCAGCGCTTTGCGCTGCTAGCAGTTTTGCAACTGTTGTAAGACTTTCTGCTGAACACTAGCGGCTTATGCTTTATCAACATGTTTACTAAGCGTCGTAATTTTTTTTTTCGGTATGTTATGTATAGCATGTATCATATATAATATGATTAAGCTGTTTTTCTGCTTAACGTGATCACAGTCAGTCACAGGTCTTTCAAAGACCTGCCTAGTATCCACTGATATCTATATGTAATACATGGATATCTATATGTAACACATGGACGTAAGAATACCTAACGGAGCGAATTGTCGCGAGGGTGAAACTTGAGGGGTAGGGAGAATGATTGTATGTATTGTAATCATAGATATAATATATCTAGATCGAGCGTTTGCCTTTATTTGAGGAGTGGGGATAAGAGCACGTAGAAAAGGATGCATTTTGAGACCCTGCGTTCTCTCTCATTCGCGCATGTGTATAAGCGTATGCGTAAGGAAGGTTACAGAGATACGCGAATGAGAGAACGCAGGGTCTCAAAACGCAATGCATCCTTTTCTACATGCCTCTTACCATGGACGTAGGGTGCGGTCCAACAACCGCTACAAATGCTGCGCAGCGTTTCTCCCTCTTGTTCTATTCTTCAGATTTGAATGAAGAAAGAGAAAGAAGTAAAAACGTTACAAAGCATTTGCAGCGCTCGTTGGACCGTAATATACATTGATCCCGCATACGGCCAGAAAAGTGAACCCAACATATAGAAAGAAACCATAGACATAGGGTGCGTTCCGTTTCCACGCATAATGCGCATGAAGCGCAGCGTTAGAGTGACAGAAATACGAAAGTAACATAAAATGAGAGGGAGAGCACTCGGGTGAGGTTCTCGAACCTAGGTTAGATTAGTTCTCGAACGCATGATCTGCATCAGCTCCGAGGTAGTGCATGCGATCTCATGCGTTCGGGAACTAACCTAACCTAGGTTCGACAACTTCACCCGAGAGCTCTGCCTCTCTTTTTATCTCACTCTTGTATCTCTGTCACTCTAACGTTGCGTTTCATGCGCATCATGCGTGGAAACGGAACGCACCCATAATATGCATAGATCCCGCATACAGTGAAAAAAGAGAAGCCAATAGTACAGATGTTCTGTTCTTTGTCTTTTTCTGAACAGACAAAGTGTGCAATAAGATTTAAGTAAAACGTTTATTTGCCAGTCTAGTCAGGATGCTGTTGCGCTCTATATTATGGAAACGAGAAATGGATGCACGCGCGACAAAAAAGTGACAAAATAGGAAAAAAACTATAACTCCTCTATTCTCTCTTTCTTTCTAGATGTTGGCTTCACTCTATTAGACGACAGAACATAGGGCATTCGGAGTCCATGTATACTATTGGTCTGTTATTTTCAGCTGCACTGCTGAACTGGTGCAATAAGTTAAAGTGAGACAAGTATATGTTTTTTCGGGTGGGACCCGATTGACCACGATACGATTGGACACAGATTGTAATGATTGGTTCGACCTAGTAATTCACTAGATAATTGATTGGCCTATCGGTTGCACTCCGACATACGACAGCGATATACGACGTATTGTAGAACACGCTTCACGCTTTTTCACAGTCACACTGCACCGCTGAAATTCAGAGACAACAGCTGATCAGGGATCGGGCCGATTAGAGTCCCTATATTCAGAGTCTGGCCAATAGAGTGCAAGTTCTGATTGGTCGACAATTTGTTCACTTTTATCAATTTCACTTTGTTTTGAGATAGAGATCCTTTAATAAGAGATCGGACACCGTCGCCTGTAGATACTAGATTTGCCATGTTTGAGTCCAAACCGGAAGTATACTTATCTCACTTTAACTTATTGCACCAGTTCAGCGGTGCAGCTGAAATAAAACAAACCACTGCTTGTGTTGTCATTCAGCTAATGGCTTGGTTTACATCGTGCACTTGATACGCGTACTAAATAGTAACTTTCTATTAGATTATCTTAATATCGACGATATATATAAACAACGGTATATTAAGCTGGTATAATGCTCATCAACAAAACGTATTGTATTGATGGGATGCGTTGCTGTTGATATGCATGGACGATATAAGATTATCTAATAGAAAATTACTATTAAGTACGCGTATCAAGTGCACGATGTAAACCAAGCCAATGATCCTAACCAGAAGTGTATCCCAAACATAGCGTAGCCAATCAAAACGTTGACATATGGTGTCCTATCTCTTATTACAGGATCTCTATTTTGAGATATATAATCGATCCCCTGGATTGCGTTCCATAACTCTACTCGACGGGTAGAGTAGCACTTAATTGACCAATAAGAACAAAGATAACTAGGATTTCTTTATCATGATTGGTCAATTACGCTGCGTTCGGAAACACACACTGTGTGCACACAACTAGACGATAGCCGTTGGAGTGAGCGAAATACAAGAATGAGATCAAAAGAGAGGGAGAGTACTCGAGTGATGTTTCCGAACGCAGCCTTAAATATACTCTACCCACCGAGTAGAATTTTGGAAGGCAGCCTTGCAATGGGAGCGTCCCGATTGACCACGGTACAATTGGACACAACCAATCGATGAAAAGAATTATCTAGTAAATTACTAGGTCGAACCAATCATTACAATCTGTGTCCAATCGTATCGTGGTCAATCGAGTCCCACCCCCTTGCAATCATAAAGAGAGAGAGAGAGAGAGAGAGAGAGAGAGACCTTTCTTTTTAATCTAACCTAACTTCTAACCTCCAACTTACTGACGTATGTCGAGTATTTATTTGCATATATTATAAGATCGAAGAAATTACAATTATTAGATTGAAGAAAATTTTATTAAAATATTTTTCTCGAATATATACTTTAATTTGTTACAATGAGTTTACCTAGAATATTGATTGCTAGCACGAAAGAAGGAAAAGCAAAAGAAATCGCAGAGAGTGAGTAAAATTATCAATGTGAGATCGATATTGTACAATCAAATCTTTTGCGTGAGTTTTTTCTGGTTTCATTTTTTTAGCGATTGCTCGAACGGTGTGGCTAATAATATATTGTCATTAGTATATAGCTTAGTTGCTAATAAGTACCATGATATTATTGTACCAAGGAACATATAGATGTTACAAACACAAAATGTAGATATATATATAAACTTATGAAAAAGCAGTGCTGTTTTTTCCAGTATTTCGGAATTTATATATATTATATTCTTCAAGCAATTGGTAGTCATAAATTCCATACACAAATGCTGATTCAGCTGTGTACATTTGTGTCGTAAGAAAGCATTTTGTTGAACAGTATGTTGCTTTGAGTCGCCTATGTCTTTTGCTAGAAAGCAGTCATCATTAAGCCACTTACAAAAATGTTTTTGTATGTTGTCCATATAGACATAGGTGCAGTACATTTATCAGAGCAAGATGATACTGTGGATTATTTGTGGAACATAGATAACAAATATTACACATCACAGGTTTTGGTGTGTACCACAGAAAAGCTGTCCATCAAACTTTCAATGGAAGGAGTGGTTGCATTTATTGTATACCATGACCCACAGACAGTAAGACACGAGCTTGCACTAGACAATTTAATAATAGCATTAATATGTTTTGATAGCGATTGATTTTTGTAGGACAAAGTTGATCAAGAACTGGAACACTTGGCATTATTGACCACTCAGTCAAGTTCAGCTGAAGTACTTTTATTTTCCTGCAGTGCAATATCCGACACACTTTTAAGGGATAAGGGTACATATTGCAACACAAAATATTGTCTAACCTTTAGACAGCCATGTTTCTCACAATCAACTTTTATATTTGTGAACTTGCAACTTTATCATATTAGTCAACTTTATGCAGCAGCTTCAAATTGTTCAAAGCACCTGATTTGACAAGTATAGGAGGCTCTGATTAAATTTTAGCCTCGGACAATTTATTTTTACAAAACTGATTTTAATTACTACAATAAAGAGGAAAAGTTTTAGTATTTGAAAAAAACGTTGAAATTGATTAAGAAAAGGTCAATGAAGCAGTGGAAGAAAGTGGGACGATTTAGATAAGAAAAATTATAATGTTGACGATTGTTAATCGCACTCGCCACAAATAATTACTTTTAATATCTATAAATTGATGTATCTTTCGCTTTTTATAAATTTGTTGGAAATCTTTGAAACAACTGTGACAGCTTCTGGCTGTCTAAAGTTTAATGGCTTAGTTTACATCGTGCACTTGATACGCGTACTAAATAGTAACTTTTTATTAGATAATCTTAATATCTACGATATATATAAACAACGATATATTCAGCTGATATAATATTCATCAACAAAACATTTTGTATTGATTGAATGCGTCGCCATTGTCGATATTAAGATTATCTAATAGAAAGTTACTATTTAATACGTGTATCAAGTGCACGATGTAAACCAAGCCATTGATACGTGAAAAAAGATCGCAAAGTAAGTTGCAATTATAAAGTTAATTCTTTGTATACTTTCCAGTATTGAATTGGTGTGTGCAAAACAAATTCGAGCTAGTCGAATTAGACCAAACAGGAGATTCAGAATCTGATATAGAAGGCAACAAATATGGTATCGAAAGGATTGTAGAAGCTCTACACGCTCATACATGGTCTAATATCGTACTGAAAGGTTGCGCGCGAAATTGTCACTATTAAATTACTACTGTCAAGATAGAAAAACCTGTATAATATCTCTTTCTATTTTTTTTTATAGACAAATAAAGATTGTAGTGTATTTTGTTACAGATAAGCCATGTATGGAGGAAACACTAGAAGTAAATGAAATTAGAGAATTATTTGAAAACATCCGGTTAACTTGCGATCCATCCGAGACACTACGTATGCAAGATATGCTCGGTCAGTAGGGATCAGAAATAAGGACAAGTATATCCAACAAACGTATCGTTGTATATCATATTGGAATTTTTAGATGGTATCATGGGTGAGCATGCAGACTTTGGAGAGTTGTTTAGCCAATTGATGGCCATGAAGGAACATGCTGCATCTTTACCGACTAACGAGAAACGCAGAGTAGCTGAACAAATAGTGACTGCATTTTGGAGGGCCATAGGCGGGGATCTTCTGGAAATTGAGGAAACACCTAACTAGATATCACTCCTTGTTTCCAAAGGAATTTGAAACTAACTAGCTCAGGACTAGTAAGATACAATTCGCGACGACTGTTGAACACGAAAAAAAATAACTTGACAACGTGTACAGGAATGCACCACAGCAAATAGTGTTATACAGCGAAAAAGTTACATGTAATTTAAGTGTATAGTGTCTCTTGTGTGAGCATGCAGATGGAAAGATTAATTAGCATTATGAAATTGTACATCCGTACGATAAGTAAAATATACTTGAGAATAATTTAATAGTTGTCGCAATATATTATTTTGAGGCTATTGACTATTTACGGTGGAATTCTTGAAGCGAGGAATTACGATTTCAGATGCGAGGAAATGCATGTTCAACATTTCTGCAAAATATATCAAAATAAACAAATATATAAAAAAATGACACTTTCCTGGTAAAAAAAAGTTGATAGAGAACGATGGAATAAAATCCTATCGTTCTATCATTTTCTATTGTTTTGAATATGGTTTCTATATACAAACTTGTCAGAGTAAGGAGAAGTTTTTTAAGTATTTTAAAGTTGTGCTTAATCAGTTACAACCTTGGTAAAAAAAAGTTGATAGAGAACGATATAATAGAATTCTATCGTTCTAAATATGGATTTTGGTTTTTGATCTCATAAATGTGAATAGTATTCTATCGTATACGATAAAACACTATTCACATTTGTGAATTCACGAACCAAAATCCATATTCAAAACGATAGAACGATAGAATTTTATTATATCGTTCTCTATCAACTTTTTTTTTTATCAGGGTTGTAACTGATTATGCACAACTTTAAAATACTTAAAAAACTTCTCCTTACTCTGACAAGTATGTATATAGCTCACTGAATTTATGTGACAAACACACAGATGTCTATACTAAATTGCTAACAGGCTATCTAAAAGCATATAACGGTTTGTATCCGATAGAGTTTCCGGTGAGTGTATGAAGTTGGCACCCCACTTTTTGAAAATCGAACATTCTGATACCGCAATAGATTGTTCTAGTTGCTCCAAACATTGTTCCAAAAGGACAAATCCGTAAGTTGAATTATAAGTCAAAAAAATGTTTTTGACCTGGCACCCCATTTTTTGAAAATAAAGCATTCCGATACCGATATAGATTGTTCTAGTTGTTCCAAACATTGTTCCAAAAGCACAAATCAATAAGTTTAATTATAAGCCCGAAAAATTAAAAAAAAGTTTTTTGACAGTCTATCGGACCAAGAGTAAACTTATACTATCTTTCTTGTTCCAACCGAGATCTTTTTGTTCTGAGTTGTTCTAGGCTTAAGAATTATAGTTCTAGAGTATGAGACTCATAAGATCATTCGTTCTCCGAAAATTCGTAAAAAAATCGATTTGACAGTACTCGACGTCAAGAGTAAACACATGCTTCCTTTCTTGTTCCAACCGAGATCTTTTTGTTCTGAGTTGTGCTAGGCTTAAGAATTATAGTTTTAGAGTATGAGACTCGTAGCGTCATCCGTTCTCCGAAAATTCATCCGAAAATGCATCCAAATAAACACGTTTATTTTTTTTATTGTTCTTATTCCACCAATTTTGTCCCGCCGCTAACTCACAAGAATTGTAAAACTCCGATGTAACAAATGTGACGGGGAACGTACTATGAGCATATCATACGGTGCGCAATTATTTATCGAAAATTCGATTATGGCTGTTTTGGGTGACATTCCACTTTGTATCAAATTAAATGAACAGAATTATACTCACGTTGGATGTGTTGTATATCATGAGCAAAATTTCGAAACATCAGTTGGCCATTACACTGCGTATGTACGTAATGGTACCAATTGGGTTGAATATGACGACTTGTTGCGTAAGCCAAAAAAACTTTCCGTTCAAGCTAAAGGCAATGTAAATATATGTATTTATGTAGAAACATAAAATATTTTTAACCCTCCGTTTGCATTATGTTTTTTACTAACGCCGTTTGTACGGTGACCCCTTTAAGTCCTGTAACATTTTTTTGTTAAACTCGTCTAAAAAATCTGAAAAACTTCTGGGATACTCTAGAGAGATTATATTTTATGTTCCAATAGTTATTTTAGTCATTTATTAACAATTTTTTGCAATAACAATTTAAATTTGCCGAAATCGACAAAAAATGTAATTTCGTAAAAAAAATTCATAACTTAACAACATATTAAAATTAACAAAAATATTTTCAGGTTTTTTAAGATAAATCTATTTTCTTAAAAAAAAAGTTCTATATATTGATTTAAAAAAGTATAATTATTTGGATGATTGAAAATAAGGATGATTGAAATATATTTCTGAGGTGACAAAAATTCAAGAAAAAGATGATTTCTTACAAAAATTAATCTTTATTATAGGAAAATTGGCGGAAATAATTACAAAATGTCATGACAAAATAAAACGAAATTGCTTCGTCGTTTAAGCCTAGTATAACTCAGAACAAAAAGATTTCAGTTGGAACAAGAAAGGAAGATGTGTTTTCTCTTGACGTCGAGTAATGTCAAATCGATTTTTTTTCGAATTTTCGGAGAACGGATGACGCGAGTCTCATACTCTAAAACTATAATTCTTAAGCCTAGCACAACTCAGAACAAAAAGATCTCGGTTGGAACAAGAAAGGAAGCATGTGTTTACTCTTGACGTCGAATACTGTCAAATCGATTTTTTAACGAATTTTCGGAGAACGAATTATCTTGAGTCTCATACTCTAGAACTATAATTCTTAAGCCTAGAACAACTCAGAACAAAAAGATCTCGGTTGGAACAAGAAAGGAAGCATGTGTTTACTCTTGACGTCGAATACTGTCAAATCGATTTTTTAACGAATTTTCGGAGAACGAATTATCTTGAGTCTCATACTCTAGAACTATAATTCTTAAGCCTAGAACAACTCAGAACAAAAAGATCTCGGTTGGAACAAGAAAGATAGTATAAGTTTACTCTTGGTCCGATAGACTGTTTGTCAAAAAACTTTTTTTTAATTTTTCGGGCTTATAATTAAACTTATTGATTTGTGCTTTTGGAACAATGTTTGGAACAACTAGAACAATCTATATCGGTATCGGAATGTTTTATTTTCAAAAAATGGGGTGCCAGGTCAAAAACATTTTTTTGACTTATAATTCAACTTACGGATTTGTCCTTTTGGAACAATGTTTGGAACAACTAGAACAATCTATTGCGGTATCAGAATGTTCGATTTTCGAAAAGTGGGGTGCCAGCTCAAAAAATCATTTTTTTTGTTTTATTCGAAAACCGTTTCGAATGAAGCAATATCACTTTGGAACAATGTGGTACAAAGTCAGAACAATCTGGAACAACTTTCAAAATTATAAATTTCAAAAAGTGGGGTGCCAACTTCATACACTCGTTTCCGGTGCATGCGAGAAAATGGCTACCGACACATATTTTCACTACGCTTAGTAATAAAATTTTTTTGTTGAAAATGAGCAGAGCAAATAACATCTAATATTATCTATTTTTTTGTTACATTTTTTACATTTTTTGAATAAGATATTTTATGGCATTTTTGGTTTTACGACAGTAATTTAATACTCACGCTGAATCGCATTGTACGGTGTAAATACTCACACAAGTGACACAATGTCACACACACAAGACCACTGTCATTTTCTCGCATGCAATCGAAAACCTTACACGACACACGTTCGAAGCTTTAATTAGCAATATAGTTTGGTATAGACATCTGTGAACAAACATTAGTAGCGCTCTCTGAGATGAAGAACTCTTGAATGAGAACTAAATATTGGTTAGGACATAGGCCGGTATTCATTGTCGAATCTTATTTCAAGATTGTCTTGAGTAATGTCTTAAGATGCGAATACGGCTCTGTGATTGGTTCATGACATCTTAAGACAGTACTTAAGTTGATCTTAAATATAAGATCTGACTATAAATACCGGCCATAGACTTGAAGGATGGAGCATTGCCCTAATAGCACAGATGTCCAGAGGACATCCTGAGGGCATCCTGAGGACATTCTTCGTCCTCAGGACGTCCTTAGGACGTCCTCAGGAGATCTTGTGCTATCTGGGTGGGGTCTACTCTTAGAGCATATATATATATGGAGGGGGATTTCTGGCACAAAAGTGTCTCCAATATCTGTGCAAGAAAGAAAGCTATACGTTCCTATTCGTCCTCTGTGCGCATGCGTTGAAGTTGACAGGATAGGTTAGGTTATAGAGCTGACAGGAGATAAAAGTTATTTATTTTCGTCTGATAGAGCTCTGAGAATTTTTGCAGAATTTTGTATTAATTTTTTAGTACTTTAAGGAAATGCAAGAAAACGCAACTTTTGTCTGAAATATTGTTTTATACCTTTCACAGTTTTCAAGATATTTCGATGTCTCAAGTTAAATGCCCCACCCTGTACACTTGAGATTAATATTTATACATAATTATGAAATATACAAGTGATTAATAAACATTTTATTCATGTCTAAACTGTATTAATTTTGTAAATTTATGTCTAACATAATGTTTAGATACCATATCTGTAACGCATTTCGTTTCGTGATATAAACGTAAATTTATATAAATTTCAATTTCATTACGTATTAATTAATATGTTTCTATTCATTCTAATCAACAAGGTATAAAATCTGTACTTATTATTACTTTTTACTGGTATATTGCAATAATCAATAATAATATTTGTTTTTAGTGCGCTATAATAAACTTAACTGACAGAATCTGACTGTTGAGATCGTTTTCTTTTCTTTCGATGAACAGATGGCAGAGCATTGGGTTTCGTTCGTGTACCCTTAGCTTTCTTTATAAAATCTTCTTCCCGGAAATGATTAGCATATAATTTTGTGATGGTATTAAGAACGTCTTCCTTAATACCACAAAATGCTAACCATTGTTTGCGAGTTTCCTCATCTTTTGGAAATCTGTAAAGAAATAAAAAAAATATTTAATTTTATTACGTAGGGTAACAAAAAATTACAATATACGCTTAACTTGACGTAAAACCTAACCTGAATGTTACGTCTTATTATAAACTTTATTGAATGATAAATAAATAAAAGATTATATTTACTTACGTATGATAGGAAATCGATTTATCATGATTGCCACACAACACACAATATATGCAAGGCATTGTTGTCTTATATTAATTGCCTTCTTATTTTCTATTTAGAGCCCAAAGCAACTTGGACAAACTTTAGGCATTAGCCCAACAATTGACGCATGTTGGTACATGCGCGCAGAGGAGGAATAGGAATGTATA